AAAATGTTTTGTGGCTTAAGAGGAAGTAAAGGAAATTATGAATGTCTATAAAGGCAAGCGAAAGATGGCTTTTGTCATACTTTGGTTTCTTATTTATAATTCTGCCCAATTTCTTTGGAGTAGATTCTTTCTTTCCATGAGTCAGAAAACTGTAGGCCACTACGCCTTTTTTAGGATCTTTTAGATGTATTACATTGCAGCTATGGGTTGAGAAAGTGAGTCTTCTAATCTGTCTTTTTTGAGCCAATGATTCATTTTTCAATGTAAGAGGAAAATACAAATAAATTTTCTTTTATTTTAGGAAAAAAGTTAAATTCTAAAGTAATAAATTATATTTAAGATTTTTATTTATTTATTTATTTATTTGAAAGAGAGAGAGAGCACGCATGAGCGGTGGGGGGCGGGGGACAGCAGAGGGAGAGGGAGAAGAAACTTAACCACTGAGAAGGGAGCCCGACATGGGGCTCAATCCCAGGGTCCTGAGATAGTGACTGAAGGCAGATCCTTAACTGACTGAGCCACCCAGGCACCCCTAAAGTAATACATTTTAGATTTAACTTAAAAATAGAGAAAATTTTCAAAAATTAAAAAAAATTATTGCAAAAACAAATTAACAAAAAGTACTTGTTTCCACCCAGTTGCCTGGAGAACTTGGAAATTTTACAGTGATTATTTATTAGATACTAACGAGATTATAGGGATTATAGCAAGTATAACTAAAGATAGCTAGTAAAAGCACAACAGAGGTATGGAGAAGGAAAAAAAAATTGAGACCTTAAATTATGCCCTAAACCTATTACTTTAGAGCATGCTAGAAAACATGAGAATACAGAAGCATATATTCCATTAGCTATCAGTGACGGTACTGTCATGTGTCCTGGAGCCTCAGGAAAATCCACTGTAGACTCGTGAGGGGATGGGAGTGACAGAGGCAAGTAACTTCAGTGTCATTACGAAGTAAGTTCCAGCCTTACAGACCAGGCCCTCAAAGGGTTTTGGGGCCTGTGGACTATCCTTTGCAAACTGCTGTTCTAGATGAATTCTTCCATACTTAGGGCTCCCACTACTATTGTCTTTAGGGTTGTGACACTCATTTGCATCCCCAGCCCAGACGACGCCACTGAGCGTTGGACTCGTGTGTCCACTGTCTGCAACTTTCTGGACCTCCCTCAGCTGAGCGCTCTCTCTTCCTCCTTGGCCTCTGCCCATGCTGGCTGTTCTGCCCAGTTTCCTCGTTCTCTTCATTTACCTGGCAAACTACCTAGATAGTGAGTTTTCTTGGGGCAGGACCTGGACATCTTTCTATCTCCAGATTTTGGCATAGTGCCCCGCACACGATGCTGCTCGGTAGATGTTGTTGAATTAAATTAAATCAAGGAAGAATTCCAGCCTCATAAACAATAAATTTGCAAATCAACCCTGAGGTAAATTTTTCTGCTTATATCTGACTTCATGCATCCTGTATTGGTTTGTATTAGTGTTAGTTTCAGAGTAAAGGATTTTATAACTTTCACCCTTGTATATTAACTTACTCAACAGTTTTCGTTTTGTTTCCTTTTGCCTTGCCTAGAGTATAATATATTCTAAAAGAGAGGGTATTTGGGCTGAGGATGCAAACATCTTAATTTTTAGCTTTTTCTATGACCGTGGAGAGTGTTTCACCAGAAATTTATCAGCTTCTGCCCATTAGAATCATCTGAATTCCACTGTACCTTATGGAAAATTCATATACATATATTTTGGTTTCTCTGAAGGAAGATGTTCTACCATCAAAATGAGAGAACTAACATTTACTCACTTCTTCCTATATGCCAGAGACTGTTCTGTGTGTTTTACATACATTAATTCCTTTAGTACGCTAACAGCTCTATGAAAGGTAAACTCTATTGCTATCCCCATTTTGTGTTAGGAAAATGAGGCACAGAAAGGTTAAGTAACTTGCCAGAGGTCACATAGATAATAATAGGGTCTGGATTTGAACTCAGAGCTTAGTTCGGCTCCAGAGGCCATGCTCTTCACTACTGTGAGTAGCTTCCTCGTAAATCTAGGTACATTACTTTTATCGTTAACCTGTGTTAACAATAATAATAATGCTTATTATTATATAACATTAATATATATAATAATAATATATAATATAATAAGCTTACTATAAGTTGTACTTGTTAGCTGTATTAGTTATAATTGTGAAATTATAACTAACTTAATAGGCAAATAGATAATAGTGTATATATACAATGGATGGTTATTTAGAAATCAAATTCTTGAGGAATACTTACTGCTGTGGAAAAACACGTTTGGCTGAAAAAGTAAGAGAAAGATCACAGTTTCTGTTTGAAAGCACACATAATGGATTTATATGTGATAAAGATATAAATATTTATTTTAAAAGACTGGAAAGAAGTATATGAGTGATTCTTTGTATTACAATTGTGAGAAGGTATATTTGAAAAATACTTTTAAAATGTTGTTTGTTCAGGGTCGCCTGGGTGGCTTAGTCTTTGGCTTTGGCTCAGGTCATGATCCCAAGTTCCTGGGATCGAGCCCCACATCGGGATCCCTGCTCCGTGGGGAGCCTGCTTCTCCCTCTCCCTCTGCTGCTCTGCCTGCTCGTGCTCTCCTACTCTGTCAAATAAATAAATAAAAATCTTAAAAAAACAATAAAATGATGTTTGTTGGATACTTCCCACATACTAGGTCCCATAATAAATTCTTCATGGGTGTTTTCTCAGTAAATTCTCCCATCAGTCCCATGATCTAGGTATTACTCATTTTTCAGAGGAAGAATCCTAGAACGTTTATGTAATTTGTCTAGGGTCATATAGCCAGTAAGTGAGAATTGGAACCTATATAAGACTCTTTCTGTTCTGTATTTTCTAAATTTTTCATAAGTTATGTTATTTACGTGATCAAAAACAAAATTAATTTTATAAATCATGCAAAAATTGGGAACTACAAGTCAGACTTATACGATCTGCTAGAATTTACTTATTTGAGCCATCAGTTCCCTAAACTAGCTATGCAAAATAACAGAAGTCTGGGACTTATAAGAAATGAGATGAGGCATTTAAAAAGTTTAAATAGACTCACTGGTTTCTCTTCTACCAAGAATTTTTTTGACCATTTACTATGGGAAACTGATTATTTTTCCAGTGTGAGTTGCAGGTCTGATGCATATGTTATAGGCTAGTTGACATATGATAAAGCTGAGCATTTTTGACTGTTTAAGAATTCCTTAACTATTTTTGTTGTGGTTGCTACTGGTTCCTTTTGTGTTGTTGGATCCCAAAGTAGATGTAGCCAGTGCCCAAAGAGAAGATTACTGTATGTGAGTATGTGGACTGACCCCTCCCCATGGACATGGTAGAAGGATTTTTCTTACAGAAATATGTATCTATAGTTGACAAATGTATTTAATGAAAGAGATACTCAGTGACGTCTATAATCTTCAAGAATAACATCAAACACAGAAGGCAGCTGTCCCGTTTTTCTGTAGTTATCCCACTGTAAGCAAAATGGGTCACTGGATGACTCCATAGCGTATTTCACATGTTCTTATGGTAAGAGAATTCTGACTCCTCGTGTGGTTTTTAATTTGAGGAATATGTGTCATAGCAGGGAAACACAGTTACCTATAAACCTTTGTCTGAAGAATCATTAGAGAATTCTTATTTTGGCAGGAGGTTGGTTTGGGAATGACAATACATAGAGATCAAGGAAGAAAATGCCCACCTGGTCATTTCTGTTACGTGAATAGACCTTGTCAGTAGAAGGGCAGACTCGTGGTGAATCTGTGAATGAATGTGTGTGTGTCACCTTCTCTGTGAAAGAGGGAGCAGGGATAAATGAAGGACGGGGTCAGATGTAAGGTGTGTAAGGCTACTGCTGAAAAACAGAAGGGGACTGAACCTGTTTCTTTTACCATAGAAAAGTGGCAACATTTTTCTCAAGATACACCTCTTCCCAGCCTTTTCCTTTTCTTTTTGACTTTTTAAAATACAGTGAAAACATTTCAGCATCTCCATATGCTTTCCACGGATCTGGGTAATCCTTTGCTTTCCAGCCATAAAACTTGATACAGTCCAGTGCCATGTAGTGAGCTCCTTCTATGGGCTCTGTTCCTTTAGTCCTGAGTAGGGTGCTTGACTCTGCCACCCACGGCAAGAGCTCTGGGAACAGGTGCACCAGGTGGTTGGTCACCCTGACCCTGTGCGTGTATGTTCCGTTGCAGGGATGGGGCTGGGAGGGTGGCGTGAGAAGGGAGGACGCTGATGGAAAGGGGAAGTTCTGAGGTGTGAAGAGAACAGTTTTTTCTTCTGAAGGATGTTTCCTATGGCTAAGCAAATATGAAAATCAGTAAGCCAGCGTCTGTGTGCTGAGTAGTGAGTCAGAACTTGCTGCATTAGACCTGAGTATTAAATGGGTCTCTGTGTTTGGTTCTGCACTCTTCATACCTGTGCTAAAGGACAAATGGGGAAGTAAGAGGAATAGCGTAATGATTCTGAGCCTTCCCTAAGCATAGAACTTTCTGCCTGCAGTGGGCTTTGGTTCTAAGTACACTCTTTCCTGCTCTGGGCAACCTTATTTTAGCAAGTGGAGATGTGAACATGTTTACCGTTTTTGTTAAAGATTTTGTTTATGTGAGAGAGTGAGCAAGCACAAGCAGGGGGAGCTGCAGCAGGAGAGGGAGAAGCAGACTCCCCGCTGAGCAGGGACACCCCCCCCACACAGGGCTCAATCCTGGGACCCCAGGACCACGACCTGAGGTGAAGGCAGACCCTTTACCATCCAGGCGCCCCATATTTTTACTTTCAAATATAGGGCCTTTATGCAATTATAGACCACTTTTAAACATTCTTCGTCTAGATCTACATGAATACTTAGAGTAAGACTTCCTATAATATACCTGCTAGATCAGTTTCAGGTTTTACTTCTGCCTTGATGTCCCTTAGCAATCTTGTCTTTCTCCCCTCTCTTGTTCTTGGTTTTTGACCTTGCAGAGAAGTGTGGGAAATGGAACTGGATAGACTCAAGAATCAGGATGGCGAAATAAATCGGAACATTATGGAAGAGACAGAGCGGGCCTGGAAGGCAGAGGTGAGAAGAGCTCTGTGGGAAAGCCTTGATTTGGGGCTTCCAGATAGTATAATCTTTGGGTGTGGTGTTATACTGCTAAGCTGTACAAGTATTATACCGTACAGCCACTAAGCACTTGTTTTAACTAGCTGGGGGTAGCTTAGCATATGTAAAATTATTAATGTGTGTGTGTGTGTGTGTGTGTGTGTGTGTGTGTGTGTGGTTTCCTTAGATCTTATCACTAGAGAGTCGGAAGGAGTTGCTGGTATTGAAACTAGAAGAAGCAGAAAAAGAGGCAGAATTGCACCTTACTTACCTTAAGTAAGTACCCTCCCATTAGAGAGTTTTAATGGTCCTGCAGTTTTGCATTTTTTCGGTGGTTTGGTTTCATTTGGTTTGGTTAGTTTTCTGAAACCCGAGGCTTGCTAGTCTGGCACTTACTCTGTCTTCACAGGAACTCCAGGGCCACCTCTGTCTGCACAACAGCCATGGTTTAGTGATTTCTCTTCCTGTATCTTACAGTTTTGTATTTTTGATTGTATTGGTTCCAACTGCATAAATAGTATCTCTTCACGGTGTCAGAGCATAACAAGTATCTTTGGAGATTTGTTTCTCATAGTCATTTCTCCTCTTTCTGCCATGGAATCTGGAGGACCCTTGTGGCATTTCCAGGCAGACAAAAGCCCTCTCTCTGTGGTTGGTCCTCTTTCTCTAAGAATTGGCTTCAGAGATGCCTGACTTAGAGTGAAGCACACGAACCCCGGCCTTTTCCTGCCCCCGGTTGACCAGCCACTGTCCTGCTAGCTCCGAGAGCCAGGAGCTGGCCTTGCTCTAATTCTCTGAATTCCTGTTTGTTTCTTGAAAGGTCAACCCCCCCAACACTAGAGACAGTTCGTTCCAAACAGGAGTGGGAGACAAGGCTGAACGGAGTTCGGATGATGAAAAAGAATGTTCGGGTAAGTGTTGCACCGTGTGACCTTTGTGTCACGGTTCAGTCTGTGCTTACACCTCTGGTGACTGGGAGGGACCTTGTACATCGTCACTGAGGGCCTGCCCCACCCCTGCCTTTGCTCTCCTGATACCGGACGATGCCCTCTTTCTCGGGCAGCTTACTCAGCTCAGCAGAAAGGGTAATCTGCTCCTGGCTCTCTTTCTAGGACCAGTTTAACAGTCATATCCAGTTGGTGAGGAACGGAGCCAAGCTGAGCAGCCTTCCTCAAATCCCTACGCCCACTTTGCCTCCACCCCCATCAGAGGTGAGAGGGCTGCCGTGGGGCAGTCTGCCTTTCTGTGCTGGTGGCACAGCCAGAGTCTTCTACTTGCTCCTTTTGTGAAGAGATGGGTTTTACTACTGGTATTATTTATTATAACATTATTATTGGTATTATCTGGCCTAAGAATTACTCACTGGTTTCTGCTCCAGATTCCTAAACTTTCATTTTCGTCCTTTCTCTCTTGTCCTTCACCTCTCCCGTTCTATAGACAGACTTCATGCTTCAGGTGTTTCAGCCGAATCCCTCTCTGCCTCCTCGGATGCCCTTCTCCATTGGGCAGGTCACAGTGCCCATGGTTATGCCCAGCGCAGATCCCCGCTCCTTGTCTTTCCCAATCCTAAACCCTGCCCTTACCCAGCCCAGCCAGCCTTCCCCGCCCCTTCCTGGCTCCCATGGGAGAAGTAGCCCTGGCTTGGGTTCCCTCGTTGGCCCCCACGGTCCACACATGCCCCCTGCTGCCTCCATCCCGCCTCCCCCAGGCTTGGGTGGTGTTAAGGCTTCTACTGAAACTCCCCGGCCCCAACCAGTAGACAAACTGGAGAAGATCCTGGAGAAGCTACTGACTCGCTTCCCCCAATGCAATAAGTAAGTATCTTTCAGGACTAATTTTAATAAAAAAATGTGTCAGAGAAATGTCTGCGGTTGAAAATAGGGGAGGTTTCCTGGAGATTTCCTACAAGGACAGCGTAGAATCTGTCTCCTTCAACATACGGCTTCTTAGGGCCCAGATGACCAACATTCTTCAGCAAATCAAGACCGCACGGACCACCATGGCAGGCCTGACCATGGAGGAGCTAATCCAGTTGGTAGCAGCCCGCCTGGCCGAACACGAGCGGGTGGCAGCCAGTACTCAGGTGGGAACTCAGACCTGCTCAGGTGGGGGAGAGGCAGGTTTCAGAAGAACTGGGGGCGGCACACAGCACTGCAGCCAGGGGTCTCTAGCCTGCTGTCTTCCTTTGTTGGACTGGGAAAGAAATGAATTCTTTTTGTTATCTGCTCTGTCGCTCAGACTCTCTCTCCTTACTCTGACAATATTTCTGCCCACAGCCCCTCGGTCGGATCCGGGCCTTGTTCCCTGCTCCGCTGACCCAAATCAGTACCCCAATGTTCTTGCCTTCTGCCCAAGTTTCGTATCCCGGAAGATCTTCACATGTAAGGCTCTTTTTCTTTGAAAACTGGGATGTGGAGAAGCTAGGGGGTGAGGAGGGAACAGGTTTACAGGTGGAGTGCAGGGAAAAAACTGCCCTCTCATCAGCTGGTCTGTTGGCCACCCCAGCTGAGAAAACGCAGGTGCTTCCAGCAAGAATCTGTATTTGAACTTCTCTTTCTTTTGGTGTAAACTCTTTTAGCATCATGGGCACAAGAGGCAAGGAGACCCAGAGGTTCCTTACTCTTTGGCTGTCCCTCCTCTGTCCTGCAGGCTCCAGCCACCTGTAAGCTGTGTCTAATGTGCCAGAAGCTTGTCCAGCCCAGCGAGCTGCACCCAATGGCTTGTACCCATGTGCTACACAAGGAGGTGGGTGCTGCGGACCTTCTTCCTTGCCACTCCTTCTTTGCTGAGTTTTTCTCAAACATGTTGCTGTGTTGATACTCATCATTAATATCTCAACATGATGTTTTCAGTAGGTTGTGGCTTAAATGGCCAACAGAATTCAGAATGCTGGCAGCTAGGATCTCCCAGCTTCCTTTCCCCCCATTCTCTTTAGGGGACTGGGTGAGCAGCACGTCCTAGAGTACTGATAGGTTACTTTCTTGGAACACTGACAGTAAGACATAAGTATCTAACCATTGTTTCAAATATAGCATTGTCAGGAGACTGCTTAGACAAGGATGGAATCGGGAACCTGAATGTGAGATTAGTAAATCCATTAACAGAACAGCTTGGAGGTCTGCCCGTTGGGGATGATCTTCACAGACTGACAGGTTATTCCTGTGGTGGATTATGTTACTAGACAGAGTTAAGTCTCCCAGCAGCCGGGATGATTCCTTCTTGACTGTTTTCTTTTGTTCATTTTTATTTTCCAAGAGCCAGCAACTGAATTTACGTCTAAATTCTCAGGGGAGAATCCTGAATAAGATTTGAGGGTAGTGGTATCTGGAGGTGGGAACACATCTCGGCCTAAATGGATCACGAGAAGGGGACGTCTACCCCAGGTCTCCGACACAAAGCAGCGCCATACCATTCTTAGCTAATTGTTAATGGTCCCTGTAAAAAGAATAGATCCCCCTGCTCTGAAGAGTCTTTTGGGGGTAAGAGCCAATGAAATAGCCCATCTGGTCCCCATGGAAAGAGGCTGTCTGACATAGTCATGCCTTCCTCAGCCCTAGTGAACCTCGGTGGCACGCTCTCCCCTCCTTCCCTCATCTTTCCAGATAAACCTGAGATATGTCTTTCTTCCTTTCCAGTGTATCAAATTCTGGGCCCAGACCAACACAAATGACACTTGTCCCTTTTGTCCAACTCTTAAATGACGGACCTGACTGGGGAGGAAGAAGAGGAGAAACTGATGTGAACAGGAAGCGCGGGTTCAAGATTTCTAAAACTCTATATTTATACAGTGACCTATACTCATGCCATGTACATTTTTATTATATAGGTAATGTGTGTATAGAAAGTCTGTATTCAAATGTTCGTAAATGAAAGTATGTATATTATGCAGAAATGGTCTCTCCCCCTCCCCTTGCAGTTCCTTCGAGGGATGCAGATTTAGCTGATGTTTAGTTTGCCCTTGAAATTACGATATTCTTGCCTAGGGCTGTTTTCAAGTACAATATAAAAACCATCTAGGAAGCTGCTGTTGCTCTAAGGCCATCCTGCTTTGATTTGGCTCAGTCTCTAGTTCATTTTCTTAAGGCTCATGTATGCAGATTAGAACCCTGGTGCTCACCCGCTGTCCAACCAGATGCCTTGCTTACCGAAAGCCCACGGAAGCCCCAGTGTTGTTCTAGCCACTCGACGCCAAATGGATAAAATGAGACCGATGGAGAAAAAAAAATGTAACCCTAATAGTTTGAATTTCCATTGAATATTTTACTGTGTTAACGCTCATTATTTGCACATAGACATTAGGTTTACAGAATATTCCGTTTTACATCAGCAAATTCACAGTCCAAGAATAACAACATAACTGGGTCCCATTTCCCCCCATGCGTCCCGAAAACTTCTGTCCATCTGACTTCCTGGGTAGTCCTCTCTTTAGAAACTAGCACAGCCCACAGATCTTTCCTGGGCCAAGCCGTCCCTTGCTGCCACTGACTTGGCTTCCGATCAAGCTCTGACGGACCAACCTTGTGAAGGCCTCACCTCTTCCCCTTCACTTCTGGTCTCCTGCTCAGCTAGTCCCCCTCCCCACTGAAGGTTAAGGCAGTTGGTTCACAACCAAGTTGTTCGGTGACCTTGGGTGAGCTCCAGGCAGGCACTGGGGTGAGGAGATGTCTGTGCAAAATTACTTACAGAATGATCTTGGGATGCCGGATTTTAATTTTTGAAGCAAGAAAATTATGGGGGACATGTTTCCTGTCCTGGGAAAAATGGAGGCCAAAGTGATATGAAGGGGAGTTGGATTTTAAGTTTAGAAGTCATTTGTTCTGTAGATAGCTATCTAGAACAAGATCGCTTTCCCATGTCTGCTTATTGAGCACTTCCGGTGTTTAGGTTTATACCTGTGAAAGCTGTGAATCCATGAGAGCTTTGAATCTTTTCCTGTCCTTTTATCTGTGCTCCTACGGGAGATGGCTTCAGCTTTCTTCTCTTTTGGAATTAAACAAGGAGAAACCAAGTGTTAATTTAAAAAAAAAAAAAAAAATCAGCTCCATGGGAAGAACGTTGTTCTATTACCAACAGCTCAGTTTTTCCCCTTCTGTGACCTGGAAATGCTTCCTGGCACTGGCAGTACTGTCAGGGTAGCAAAGCCTCTCCCTTTCAGATCCAATTACATTCCCTGCTCTCTTTTTTTTATCTTTTCCTTCTTTGTCCTTCATCCTTGCCTATTAGCCTCTTAGATGCAGTCTTTCCCTTCTCCTGCCTTACTTGCTCAGGCTTGTTGACTGGCTTCATTTTCAGGAGCTGGACTTCCCAGGACCACATTGGCATCTTGTGGGGTGATTGAAATGGCCTGAGATCTCCCCTCTGTAGAGGTCAGGTGACCCACTTCTTTGGTTAATGAAATCTTAATGTTCAGTTTGTAGCTGTCATGAGTGGAAATGTGGCAAAATGGAAGACTGGTTCCTTTGTTCTTTTCATTTGGGGCATTTACTTTTTCTCTTGTAATCAAAAGATATTCTCTCTCATCAACTTTGCAGTAGCCTTCAGGCCACCAGGAGTGTTTTTCAGTATTCCCTAAAAATCTAGAAATTAGGAATGGGTATAAATGCTATTCTCTTTCGTTTCTACAAATATTTGAAGCCAAAGGAGTATAGAGAGAAGAAAGGAATAAGTGGGAGGGGACTTAACAGCTTCCTAGTAAAAGCCCCTTGAAAGCCAACTGTAGCAGGGGGACAGATGTTTGGGGTGTGTGGAAGTTGGGGCCTCACTGTTGCTCTCTTCTCTGTCTTGTTCGGGATCAGTCAGAAGGCAACATTTAAGTTTTGGGCACCCATGTTCTCCCTTTTCCCTCTGTCTCCTGGCCTGCAGGGGTAGAAGCCATGCAGATTGGTGGGAAAGGCCTCTAATGCAGTGAGTAGAGGTGGGACAGTCACTTTTCAGGAGTCGATTCTAAAAATAGAGATATATAATATTTTTACAAGCAAGAAACTGTTGCCAAGATTTTTTTATATATATATATATACTTAGACTTAATAGTTTCAGGATAGAAAAGAAGCAACTGTAAAAAGAAAAGTACGTACAAGTTAAAAAAAAAAAATAGGATAGTGGGACTTACTAATGAAGGGGTTGAGTTTTATGCCCTGGAAAGAGCTGGGAAAAAGCCAGTTTTCCCCAACATGGATAGAAATTATAAAGCAGAATGTGGCGTTTTCATTACATGGTAGCAATTCTGGAAGTTTTATTTACACGTAAGTTCCGAGCTGGAAACAAGTCTCCAGTCTTCCTGACAGTCTTTGTGGTTAGGAGGGGGTGTTCCCAGTCGTCCAAAGCAGCACCAAGATCAAGGGGAATGAAGAGAACCCAGATAAAGAACTGTGACTCAGTATTCTTTTTTTATTGGTTTATGGCTTGTGGGCAGCTGGCCGAAGCCAGGATCTCCAGAGGCCCTCCTGTATTTCCCTTCCCCTCATCAGGTAATTCCACACTCGGCAGGCAGGTCCCATACCTGGAAGCAGTGTGTTGACAAGTTAGCAACAGGACCCGGTGGGTCTACTAGAAGAATCACGTCTTCCACTAACACTGGTATCAGAGTTGACTGTGTTAGAACTGATGGGGAGGAAATGAACTTGGTCCCCACTACCTAGCCCAAGAACCAGCCTGGGTAGACAAGTACTATTTGGAGTGGGGAGTAGAGAGTAGAATAGGGGAGAAGGGTGGCCTCCCCTGAGGGGCTCTGGAGGTGAAGGAAGTACGGAAGCCCTGGGGCTGCCAGCCTTTCTCCAGCAGCCTTGTTACCGAAGGCAATGATGGTAGAGCCAGAAAGCCCCGCGGTCCGGACACTGGGTATAATACTAGTGCCACTGTGGGGTGCGAAGGTAATGGAGGCGACATCGGAGAGGGGGAGAAGGTGATGAAACAGCTCTGTGTTGTGAGGAGATCTTACTGCTATGCTCAACTGAACAGGAAGAGATCCGGGCAGAGGCACCGGGGTACTTGTACCTATTGAGTGAATCTGGTAGATTTTGCCTGTGAGGGTTAAATTAGAGAGGTCTCCTGTCTATCCCTCTCGGCACCTCAGCTGCAGAGCTGCAGAGGAATAGGGATTTGGGGCAGGGAATGAACACGTAAGCAGGAAGACAGAGCCCAGCCCTGCTCTATTTGCTGTGTTCTAGTTGCTTCCTCCTAGGGCACTGGGGATGGGGTGGGAAATGTCAGCGTTACATATCGCGTGTGGGGCAAAGGGTTCTGGTAGAGACAAGTGCAATCTTTCAGGTAGAAATTGAGTTGTCAGATGGAACTTCTTAGTGGGCACTTTTCATTTAAGAGAGTTAAAAAGAGCTTTTTGGCTAGGTAAGCCCTTCTTCCCAACTCACTTTTGGTCAGGCTACAACCACAGAAAAGAAAACACTGGGCAGCAACACCCATCTTCCAGGATGGGCTTCTTTCTTGGAGATGCCGTCCGAAACCGGGACTGGCAAGTGGTCGTGGTTCTGCCTTTTCTAGCTCCAATCCCCTCTGTTCCCTGTCTTTGTGCTCCCTCTCCTCTCCTCTTCCAACTGCCCCCATCTGTACAAATATTCAGTCTCATTATTTTTTGTTTAATTCAAGAGGCAATCTTTGTACCAATGTTAGGCTTGTTTATACAGTCCCTATTACTAAAGCAAGTAGCAAACGGTGCATCCGTTCCTACTGACGTGGGCCAGCAGGGAAACGACGTTGGCCCTTTCTCCACAGAGAGACACACACTGGGGTGACGTGGCTGTGATGCCGCTACTTCTGGAACTAAGAAAAGAAGAATACTTTGGGTCGGAGAATCCAAAGGGGCGGTGGGCAAAGGTTCAAGGCTCAAGTGTCCAACAGCACAATTTCCCAACTCAGGCCTGAGGTGCCCAAGAGTATTCCCGCCACCAGAGTGCTTCTTTCTTCCGTCTCCTGTTTCCTACAGGTGCCGCTCCTGTAACCCACCTTGCCCGCTTTTCCTTCTTTTTTGTCAAGGCAGAGGCATCTGGTGGGTAGGTGAGGGTCTCAGGGTGCTCTGGCCACCAGTGCCATCAGTGTCTCCCACTTGTGACCAAAGTGAACCACCAGATGCGGCCCAGGGAAGCCTCGGTCTCCTGCCCCTGGGCCGCCTCACTTCAGCAAAGAAATGTCATCAGCAAAGTCATCGTGTTGATGGCGCAGGCAGCGGAGGCAGCGCCACTGGCACACCATGAGGCAGAGCGGCAGCATGAAGAGGGCGCAGATGGCTGCCATGACGTAGGCTATGGTCATGAGGGTCGACTCGTCTGTCTGTGGGATGTTGTAGCCACAGTCCTCCATGTCCGGGGTGATAAACGGGCCTTCCACCGCCGCCGTCCTGAACTCATCGTGCACTGGGGAAAGGGCAAACGCGAGTGGGCAGCTCTCATCGTCACACAGCAGTTTGGGTCATACGACAAAAAGAACTGCCCGGTAGGCCTTGAAATGAGCCCGAGGGGAGGCTCTAGTCCCTCCTTCCTCGGAGATATTTAGGAGCCGGCCAGAAAAGCCGGGCTAGGTAGAACCACGTCTCCTCCCAGGGCCCTGGGAGCAACAACCCTTTCCTGTGTAACCAGGCGGTAGGAATGGTACCTAAAGGTCAGTCTTCTGAGTTGACCAAAAAGACACCCCATGTATGCCCAGTACGCTCACCGGCTTCCGCCGATACTACTCGCAAGACCCCGCCGCCATTCTGGAGGAGCCCTCAACCCCATCGGGTAGCAGCCCACAGGGTCACTGCTGGCTCGGCCTGCTGCCCAGGGATCTAGAGCTTCCCTAGGGGCTGAGGTGGCTCTGGGTCTCCGGCAGAGGTTACAACCCGGGCAGGCCTCACCACGCCAGGCAACACGGACAGAGCCCGAGCTGGGACGCTAGCTCTAACAGTGTGTTGACTCTGCCTTGAGGCAACTGTGACTACCTCCCAGACTGACGGGCCCGGGGCTCCTAACTGCCAGACAGTGAGAAGACGCACAGACGAGCCCACACCCTCCTCCCTGGCTCTCTTACCGTGACAAGCACTGACAGCAAAGCCGATTCGCTTTCGGGCCCGATCAAAGACGACGTAGAAGCCCTCCATGATCACAGCTCCCATCACAGTGCCCGTGGAGGACTGTGAGATGGCGAACTTGTAGCAGTCATCTTGGGACGTGGCCACGTCTTCCACTGGCCGCAGGTATTGCTAAGGACAAGCAGTCCGAGAGGGAGAGGATGTCCTCCCCTCTCCATGTCTCCCCCGACCCCCAGCCTTCTAGGTATCTGTGCTTAGGGGGTGCTCTTCCCTCCACCATCCCTGAGCTCCGTGGGCTTGCTTTGTGCCTCTGGACACTGCTCTCTTGTCTTCCACCTTCTGGGAAGACACGCCGGCTCCCTGCCTCCCCGTGGGAACCTTGCCGTCTTCCTGGGACCCCACCGACTCCGACTGGGGACATACCTGTGGAAGGATGGTGATGCGGAAGGACTGATTGGTGACCTCGCCCATTAGGTAGAGGGAGATGACCGGGAAAATGTTCCAAGGGGTGGTGCCTGCCTGCCAGCACACCAGCTGCTCCCCCAGCCAGAACCCGTCCGGGAACTTCTCCGTCTGTGTGGTCAAGAAAGGGTAACTGAGGAAACCACCTCTTCTGCCATCTCGCTTCTCTTGCTCTCAGATAACACTGGGCCCTCTTTTTGCTTTTCTATGGAGTGTCCAAACTCGGGAAAAGTACACTGAAACCCAAGAATTAGGGGAACAGAGCTGGAGAGTAAGGCCAAAACTCTGTACCAGGGGGCCTGTGTGATGAGCACGCCAAGGCCCGTCAAAGACTCGCTCTGAAGACATTGAAGTAGAAGGATCTAAGGGTAGACAGCTTGGCTCTTGCTGAGGGCTGTGACCTTCACGGACTTCCTCTGACACTGTATCATCTCTTGTACCCCTGACCTGAGTCCCACTGACCGAGGAGGCTGCCTTGATGGATTTGACGGCAGCTTCAAACACTTTCTTGGGCAAACGAAGGTTGGTGGTGCCACTATCCACGATGCTCTTGTCGTAGTTGTACTAGGATGGAGAAGGGAGGGTTAGAAGAGTCAAAAGCCTTTTTTGATGCTGGGCTCTGGCCGGAATCGTAAGGGTAGATCTGACTGCTTAGGGTGGCATCCTGGCTTGGCACTTCTCTTAGGATTATACCCTTGGGCAAGTTGTTCAGCCTCTGTGCCTCAGTTTCCTCATCTTTAAAATGAGGATAATAATAGCACCTACCTCAAAGAGTTATTATAAGGATGAAATGAATACATGTGGAGCGCTTAGAATGGTGCCCGGCACGGAGGGAGCATTCTGTAAATGCTAACTCTTAGTATCTTGGGTTGGGCAGACATTCTCCAAATCTTGAAAATAAAATTACCTTGTATAGTGCTTTTAACTTTTCATAGTTCTTTAATATTCTCATTGAACATACATTAAGAATCTAGGTAAGGAAGACCCAAACGGTTGAGCTGCTGTTTATTGGGTACTGCTGTGTGCCAGGCACTGGGAGAAACACTTTATTTTTCTGTCTTCACCACAATCTCTGGAAAAGCTGTTTTTCCCTCTGCTTTGCAGATGAGGAAACTGAAACACAATCTAGTAACTTGCCTGTGGGCACATAGCCAGTAAATGGCAGAGCTAGAAACCTAGGTCTTTCCAGCTCCAAAGCCAGATGCTTCCCCTGCATCATTCCACACTGCCTGGCACAAGACTTGCCCAGGGCCGCCCAGCAAGGTGGTAACTGGAGCCCAGACATGCTTTTTTCCCTTACCACACCATAAGCCACAAGGTCCCCGTGCAAGTGCCCTGCCAGTCCCTAGCCCCCAACCTCAGGTCCTGCTGTGTTACTGTTACCATTAAGCTCCCGATTGTTCTGGGCTCAGCCCCCAACTCTTTCTGCAGGTCCTGCTCCTCTGCCTCGTCCTCCCAACCTCATAACTCAGGGTCTGACCTCATCCTATGTTGCCTCCCCCTTCCCTCTCCCTGGCCCCCCTTGATGGTGATACCTCCTTGCAGTCCATTTTCAGGTCCTGCCCGTTGATCTCCACCCGCACAATGATGACCTCGTAGTACCACTCCCGCCGGATGGGTGTGTACCAGAGGCTGCCCGTGTACAGTGAGTGGTCGATACCCCCGATGATCTGGAGACAAAGGGAGGCAGGTACCCGTGTCCCGGCACAGAGGGACAGCAAGTCACCCAGAGAGCAAACAGTGAGATCAGAGATTTCTGGGGGGTAGCAAAGCCCTTCACAGGCCACCTTTCTTACCTTCCTTCTTCTGATCAAATCTTGTCCCAAAGTGATTTGTAGTTTTTTAAATGTGTTAAGAATATATCAGGGGAAGACTTTACAGAATTTTAAATTATTTGTTTCAGAGTCTCACAGCCCTCAATATAAAGTTATTTAAATCCAGACTGGCACAATAAATGTTAAATGAATGATTATTTGCTTCTTTTACAAGTTTTATTTTCTCCGTGTGTTAGAGATGGAGAACCATTCACCAGTTATCCTAATTAATTAATAAATAGACTTTTAAACTCCTTCCATTGCTGCCTTCTGCTCATCAGACTGAATCATCTTAATTTGAGAGGTCTTTTTTTTTTTAAGATTTTATTTATTTATTAGAGAGCATGGGGTGGGGGGGCAGAGGGAGAAGGAGAAGCAGACTCCCCGCCGAGCGGGGTGCCTGACATGGGGCTCGGTGAGCAACCCAGGTGCCCCAGAGGTCTTATTTACATTTCCTTTGAAGTTCCCTAATCTCATCCTTTCCAAGTTTACCATAGGTACCTGGATTCCTTTCTGGATAATGCAAAGAAGAAAAGGATAGAAAAAGAAAAGTGGAGGTGGCGAGTTTAAAGAGGTTTCTCTTGATTCTAAGTAGCAGAGCCCAAGACTGTGCTGCAGCCTTGGTGGTGGGGGGGAGGTAACCATCCCTCTTCCCAGGGCTAGAACCTGCCCTCTCCTAGGGCGTACTCACCATGCTTCCTCCAACTGAGGCTAGCACTTCCGACTGATTGAGCGGGAAGCCTGCGCCACAGAGCTGCAGGGAGAAGAGGTTGGGAACGTGGGTCTGCTTTACCAGGGAGTCAAAGAACGGCTCCAGGGAGTCATCGGGCTGTGGCAGAAAGAGACAAAGAGGGAAGCCTCACACAGAGGGCCCTAATGGAGAGGCCAGCTTCCTGCCTAAACGGGAAGGCAAAAGCAAAACTCGGGCGATGTTCCTTGGCAAAGGCTATCTTGAAGTACTGAGATTGGCAGAGAGAGGGTTAGCAAGAGACACTGGCAGTGCAAACAGGAAAGATCTATAGGATCTTTGATCCCCATATGCTTAACCTGTTTCAGGTCTGGGGGTGGGGGGCTCCCTTATTCTTAAGATATTGAGAGTCAGTAGAAACCAGAGCCTAATCTTGTACCTGTCAGAGCATCCCTCACTATAGGCCTGACCTCTGCAGGGACGGGATTCAGACTGCCACCCTATCCCCACTAACTAATCCTTTAGGCTGATCTGTGTCCCTCCCTTAGTCAGTTCCCCTTCTCTCCAAGCCCATCCCTCGGTTACATGCAGGGTGCGGTGCGGACACAGTGTCCGGGGCTCGGCCTCGCTCCTCTCACCCTGGCGATCTCAGCATAGGCCAGCCCCAGGATGCCCTCCCAGTTGGAGCCATTGATGAAGAACTTGTCTGATTCAGTGATGGCAGCGATGTTGGCGCGCACAGTGACGTTGGGGCCGTGGGGGATGCTCACCAGGTCGGTGCCCAGCTCCCCCTCCCACTTGCCCTGGGTGTAGGGCACATACACGCCCTTCCGGAGGTCCCGGTACGTGCTGGACCTGTGGAGAGGAGGCAGAGGTCTGTGGAGGCATGCCACGACCCTGGCACGGGGACCCAGCATCTGACCTACTCCAGAGGCCTCACCTTATCTCAGGGGCATCCCACATAAGATAAGATGCTTTCAGGCTGCTCAGTAGAACATCCCAGATCCATCACCCAGAACAGAACATAGAGTAACCTTGCAAACAGATGAGGGAGCTGTTGCTGGGGCTCACCGTCCTGCCTCCACAGCTCCTATCCCTAGATCTGAAGCTCAAGCCCTGCGGGGAACAAGCCTAGGCTTTGTGTATTGTGCCCATGGCCGCAGAGGGACAGCTAGAGGCATCGCTTCCTCCCCCCGGCTTCATCGGGCTCCCAGAGTAAAAGAGCCTTTGACTGTCGCTGCCTTGGGACCTGGTGGTACCATCTGAGTGGTAGAGAAAGCGCCAGGCGGGAGGAACGCGGAACTTCTACAGCAAGTTCTTCCTCTTTGGAAGAGCTGGCACCGCATCTCAGCAGAGCAGGTAAGTATTAACACACCACTTGTGTGGAGCAGGCCTGTCGGCACGTGACACCTTCACCTGTGCCTCACGGCACCACGACCCAGGCCTGTGTGTGCGCCGGGTGGGGCAGGGGGCAGTGGTAGGACTGGGACCAGGAGCTGGAATGAATCCCTCTCCTGGGTCCTCACCGTGCCCTGCTCCCGGCCGGCCTTCTTCAGATGGGGAAGTCAGAAGACGCGGCAGGTGGCTTTGGCATCTGCCTACAAGTCCAAGTATGGGACGTAAGCCTCCCCTCACAGATTTCCACACACAGAGACGCCTCAGACATTAGATGTCTTCTCGCCACCTCTTGTGTTTATGCTAAGGAGGCTCCCACGTCATCTCTATGCCTCTTACCTTAAAAACTCACTTCAACCCTCCCTTCCACCAGTTAGCAAAATCTGGCTGTTGGAACCCTGGGTGGTGCAGGGAGACATTTTAGCTGTTGGGCCCTGATACGGGTCCAGGCCGTGGGGCTTATGGAAGGCTCTTCCTCCAGTCTCTTGAACTGTGTGATGCCACCAGGAGCGGCCCCTGGGTGAGGGCACAGCACAGGGAGCAGTCACGGTAGCCTGCTCCGCCTAGACCGCCTTGGTCTTGCCAGATGCCTGACAGCCCCTGTGGGGGCTGCGGGGTGGGGGTGAAGTCTCCATGTCTCCCAATTCAAGCAGAGACAAGACCCTGAGATGGCTCTGGGAGCTTTGGGGCTCCTCTCCTTCCTTCTTTCCCTCCCCAAGGGAGCTGCCCCATCTCAGTCCTGAAGAACTTCCTTCTGGCCCCTCAACCTACCCTTTCCCATAGTAGAGCGCCTCAAATCCCCCCTCTCCACTCTTTCTTGGACAGGATCTGAGGAGCTAGTCTTTCTCCCCGAAGACCTCCCCTGACCCTTCTGGGCCCTGGATCCTTGGGAAGGGTTCTTCTGTCTAGCTCTCCCCAGGACTCACAGCTGCCTCTGGTAGTAGCGATGCAGGAAAGGGTGGGGGGCAGCCCCCACTGCAAAGTTACTGCTGCCTGTGTCCACGAGGATGTTGAGCTGTCGGAGAAAGGGGAGAGAAAAATGTTACCGACATGAGGCTCTGGGCTCGCTACCTTTGTTGTCCTTTATGCCACAGCCAACAAAGTCTCCCTTTGGAACGTCCAGGGAGAAGCTTCTAGGACGCAGGGCTGGACAGCCTAGTGCCTGCTACCACCATGACCACAGGCAGAATGTGGCATCCCCGGACACCCTCAGCATGGCCTTGTGCCCGCTCCTGGCTTCCCTGTGGAATCCTAACATTGTCTGTGTTGTCAGAGCCGCACTATCTCTGCATGTGTGGGGGGTTTCAGTCCTCTCTTCTCTCTACCTTCAGACTGTCCTTACTTCAGGTACCTGTCCCAATCCGTCTGCAAGCTCACGCCTTCCCTCCTCTGATCCTCCTAGGAGGCATATCACCCAGCGGGCAGCTGGGCTCGCATCCCCGTCCAGCTCGGAAATGCTATTCTAGGAGCTGGCACTGGCCAGGGAAGCTGCAGGAACCAGGACGGCCTGCAGGTGCCACATGTTTCTGACCCTGCCTGCCAGAATGTGGCTCCCCACGAAGGGCTCCCCTCCTGTCTCAGAGGTGACATAGGCCTCTGAGTCCTACTATCAGAAAATAGGAGGGAGCCAGGAGCCCACTCTGCCATCGCGGTGAAAACCCATCTTGTCAGGGTCCTGGGTTTTGGCTAAATTGGATATGGATAGGTGTCTTCCCGGTGCCCCTTGCTGTGCAGCTCCTTCTAGCATTTCTTCTTTCTTGACCCTCCTTTCTCCTTCAATGGCCTGATCCCTCCCTCCGTCGGTCTAGAGCCATTTTTTGAATGCCCCTAGTATCCTCACAGGCAAGCCTGGAACCCTGAGAATTCAGCCTTCTTTTTCTGACTTTTCATGCCCATCAGCTCAGCGGCTACCTTGACCTCAGGGCCCTTTTACTCCCTCGTCCTCTCCCCTCAGTGCAGTGAAGTCAGCTGACCTCAGTTTTGGTGCAGGCTCTGACCTTGTCACCTTGGGCAGGTCACTGTGCTCCTCTGGGCTTCAGTTTCCTCCTCCCTGCCAGATCCTCGGGCTCCTTCCTGCTCTCAGTGGTCCCTGCGGCTCTGCAGACCGCACCTCCCCCAATGCCTGCGAGGGCCTCCTGCCTCCCACCCCCACCAAAGCGCCTCCTCTCTTCCCCATGGTGGCCCAGACCTCTGACCCCACCCCGCCCTCCTCCCCAGCCCCCTACTCCTGGCCTGGTTCCCATTTGCCTGCCCGCCCTTCTTCCCTGTCTCTACTCCAGGCCCTCTCCAGGGTCTCCAAGTGGCCACCAGCTCCAGATGCTGTGCTTTCAGAATCAATAGAGCTGGAGGCACAGAAGCTCAGATTTCAGTCCACCAGGTTAATGATTAAAACGGCCCCCCCACCCCCGTCCCAGCAACCCCTCCCCCACCTGCCAGGACTCTGCTCCCAGCCCTAGGGTTGGCCTAACATTCTTCCAGGGATCCCTCCTCTTACTGGACCCCAAAGAAAGAGGGTCCCCAGGGCTGTGCAAGAGAGGGCTCCCTGGAACGTGTGCCTGACAGGCTCCAGGAAAACACAACCACCTTTCGCTCTGGCACAGGGTTTTTTTCTGAGGCCCCAGCTGGTCCAGGCCTCCCCACCACTCTCCCCTCCTGCAAACCACTCCGAGCCAGGAGGCCCAGCCTTTCTCAGCTGAGGAAGGCCTCCCACTTCCTCCTCCTCAAAGCAGGTCAAGCCCACCCACCCTGACACTGGGAGTTCAGGCCCTGTCTGCCCGCCACCCCCTCTCCACCCGCCACCCAAAAATGAGAAACCAAAACAAACAGCTGAGATTCCCTCCTGAGCAAATGGCCACCTGTCTGTTTGCTCTTTGCAAAGTGCTCCTGGCTTCTGGGAGAAGGGATTCCTGGTCTCGTCCTTCTAACATTTCTTACTCCAGCCCCAGGCAGGTTTTCTCCCCCTCCGGCTCCCAAGGAGGCCTGTCCCAGGGCAGGGGCCTTAGGCAGCTGAGCCACTACTCATCCTGACACGGGGCAGGTAAGGGCAGCCTGGAAGAGGAGGGTTAGTGGTCGTAAGCAGGGGACACCTGGCCTCTTACTGCTCGGAACAGGGACTCTCAGAGGGGGCCTCCCTCATCCCCACAGCCAGTCCTTGCAACCTGCCTGTGGCCTTGTCCACCCGTCCTTTCCTTCGGCTGGCCCTCCCCTGCTCTGGGTGGGTGCCCGACCCTGGGAACTACACCCTTACCCTCCAGTGGATTCGCTGCCGTTCTGCCCCCCACCCCGATCTGGGTTCCTCCTGTTGGCATTTACAAATGCTCAAGTCTGTCCATTAAAAACCTTCCTCAATCTCACCTCCACCTCCAGCTCCCCTCCCCTCCTTCACAACCGAAGTTCTCAGCCAAGCTGTCTTCATTTCTTCACCTCCCACTCATTCCTCAATCCATCCCAAAGCCCGTTCTCCGCTGCCCCTCCCTCCACTATGAAACAGCCCTTACTACAGCTACCAGAGACGTCATGTCACCAAATACAAAAGGCATTTTCAAATCAGTCCTCCTCTGCCTGTGAGGACGTCTCCCTCCCAGAAACACTCTTCCTTGTCCCCCTGGCCTGTGGGTGTCCTCCCACGGCTCTGACCAGATCTCCTCTGTCTTGCTTTGCAGGCTCCCTTCTCGAGGCTCGGGCTTCAGCCCTCTTCCCTGCAGGCTCTGGTCTCCCTCAGCCACCTCCCCTGTGGCCGCAGCTCCAAGGATCCCCTACAAGCCCATCACTCCTAAGCTCAGAGCCCTAAGCCCTTTCTTCCCCTTGGAGCACCAGAAGCACAGAGCGTACTCCCTCAAAATCAGGATGTCCAAAGCCGACCTTCCACAGTCCCGCCCATCTGCCTTTTCCCAGTGTTCACTGTGTCAGTGGATGGCGTCACCATCCATCTGTTCTGTAAGTCAGCAACTGGGGGGACATCCTAACACCTTCCTCTTCTTCACATCTCTACCCGATGCATCAAGTCCTGTCCAACTAACCTTCTCAAAAGTCTCATGAGTGTACTCATCTCTGGCCAGCTCCCTTGCCGCCCTGGGCCACTTTCTGGACTATCACAACAGCTTCTCGACTGGCCTTGGCAGCGTCCATCCACCCCTGACCTCTCCAACCTGCCTCTGCGCTGCGGCTGGGGTGGTCTTTTCTAGGTACAAATCTGACCGTGTTGCCTTCCGTGTCAATCATTTTCCTTTGCTACTAAAATAAAAATTTAAAGCTTTGGCATTTCCTACGTGGCCCTTCATTGTCGGGTCATGGCTGGACACCCAGCCCAGTTTGTTCTCTACGCCCCAGACCCCTGCCCACCGGCTACACCTGCCTCTTCACAGGTCCTCAGACCAGCCACAGTCCTCCCCCTGAAAATCATTCGCTCTGCCCAGACCAATTCCTCTCCGTTGAGTGTGTCTTACTCATCTCCCACCATCCCGCGGTCCAAGCTCAGAAGGGACGACTTCGTAAGAGGGAAAGACCAGGTCAGACGCACTTATGAAAATGCTGCCATACAATGTGTCACTCTATAGCTTCACGTTAACTCTCACCTCCCTTGTATCTAATTTTTAAAAATTCCCCATTGTATCCCCAGTGGGTATCACGGTGCCTGGCAGAAGGGACAAAGAGCTAGTCTGTCCTGCTTGTTGGGTGGCAGAGATGCCTCCGGGACTCCCCAGCTGTGGGCCTTCTGAGGTGTGGCTTTAGCTCAGAGCTGTCTTCCCTTTGCCGGGGCTGTGGTTTGACATGGGAAGGGGACGCAAGACTTAGGGTCCTGGAGCCATCTTCTTCTCCATCCCTTGGGGCCAGGCTGACTTGGGAGTCTCTGCAGCTCTTGTATTTAGATCCCCAGAGGATCACAACCCAGGGTCAGGGCTAGGTCACAGCCAATCACTTAACAAACAAATGTGTCCCTGGGGGCCTATGAGGGATGGTGACTTCTTGGGAAGTGTTAACAAGCCCCTTAGGGAAAGGTACACCTGCCCATTTCACTAGGCAGGCCAGGCTCCCCTGGAAGAGTTTTCAGCAACAGATCTTGGGTGATGAGATGGGTGTGCTGCCAGTGAATTCTGGGTAAACTCTTTGTTCCCCAAATCTCACCTGTCTTGGTCCCAGCTCTCACTAGCAGACAGGGACAGCTCAGATTATTCTGGATGAAAAGAGCCTTTGGGAGTCATCTTTTGGTTAGCCTAGGGAGATTCTGAAAGATCAACTCTGAAAGATCTCTAGTTACTAAGATCCCAACCTCTCTTCGTAGCCTATCCTGGGGCCCTTGGAGGGAGCTTTTTAACTCTAATTCTTCCTATCAAAGAGGGAGTCTCTTTCCTTCTATGTGGGCCTCTGAGTTGAAGGGGGGAGAGCTCTTACACACTTGTCTAGCAGAAGCTGAGATGTAGAAGGCTTTCTTCCATTTTATAGAGAAGGAACTGACATCTGGAATGAGTGGGCAACTTGATCCGTTCTACACAATGATCCACACAGCTGGATAGGAATCCACGGGTTCTAGGCAACTCCACATCTGGTCTTTCATGTCCTTGACCTTCCCGTCTCTCACTTGGAGAGGAAGTATATGGTAGATTGCTACACTAAGGAATCACACACCCCTGTATCCAGGCTGTTGTGTGATCTCCTGACGTTGACGCTAGGTTTGAGCATGTGACAGCTCTGGCCAATGGACATCAGCAAAGGAGGAAAGCAGAGGCTTGGGGAAGGCCTGCACCCTGGGGATTCCTCTTGGAATGCTACCCTGAGACTCATGGGGAGAAGCTCCATCTTGCCTCCTTGAGGATGAAAGCCTTTATGGAGAAAGAGGTCCAACGGACCCCCTGCTCACCTACCAGCTGAATGCAGCCACGTGAGTGAGCCCAGATAAAGACCTGGAGAAGAGCCACAGCGAACCCACACAATCCTGGAAACCACTGTGACTCTTGTTCCCAGCCACCAAGTTTCAGAGTAGTTTGTTACGTAGCATCAGATCCCAGATTCACCATC